AGGAGGCAAAGTCAAGTGACAGTGAACATGTTAGTAAAGAAAAAAAAAAGGTTAGCACAGAAGACATAATATTATGTAAAATTTCATAAGCCCATCATAGCATTTATAGTTGTTTGAAAACACTATTCACATTCAGCCATGGTTTATATAGGACCAACTCCTGTTTCTTCCAGTGCCTTTTTGAATACCAGAAATTAATTTTGTCTCTTAAGTCTAGTCAAGTGTTAATGGCCTGGATTTAGATTATTTTCCCTATATGTTTTTGTAAGAAATGAGCTAAAAAAGTGTAGGTAGTTATTTAAAAGTTGTATAAGAATTCAGCCCTCATGCTTAAAACATTTTGTGGTCTGATACTCAATTAAAATATAGTATATAAAATGTTGGTTCCATTCAGTTCACTGGCAATAGTCCTATTGATATTTTTTTTTTGCACTGAGGATCTCATTCAGGTTATGCAAATAATTATTCCATCTGTGTAATGAACATAAACTGCAAGATCCTAAAGTCCTTGGTGCACTCATACCAAACTTCATGACTCAGCCAAGTAATGAGAATCTCCCCTGTGCTCTAAAATTAGACTGCTTCCTGGTGGGGCAAGCAGGAGGGGCAGGATGACTTGGTATCAACCATGGCATCCTTTTTTGTAGCTTATTAAATATACAATAGCTCTTTATCTACTGATTGCCTCTCCCCCTGCTTACAGTTGTAATTTTTTTTTATTCTGGAACTGTTAACAAGGTGGAGATAAACACTTGTGGTTAATTGTTGGTCTACAGTAAGGGTTGTTTGGAAGTTAAGACAAGATGAAGAACATGGAGATGTTTGTCCTTTTTCCTTCACTACAGTTATTCACTGTAATTTGGAGCAAGTCAATTAATCTCTGCCTATTTTTCTTGTCTTTAAAATGAAGGTGGTCACTTGCCCATGAGTATTGAGGCTAAATTAATTGTATTAAAATACTTTGAGATCAGTTTCTGTGAGAGATTTCCATAGTGTGTCACCTTATTATATACATGCCCATATTTATCTTTCATTTTGTTTTATATTCCATTTAGTAAAATCATAGTTAGTTTTGTGTGTTAAGAATTACCAGTCCTCTGGGAGCAAGGTATAACACAAGTGTAAAAGTAGTAACTCTTGCTTTTGTGATTACATAACTCTACCACTGAACAGATCAGCCTAGTTGGGATACAGAAAAATTGATTTAATAGATGTGACTAACAAAGAGTATATGTTTGCTTTTTGATATTTTCAGTGTTCATAAGACAACAAAAGCCCATATAAGTTATTTAGTACAATATAAATCATGGCAACATGCTCCTTTAAAAATAGTTTTCATAAACTGTGGCAGCAGTAGATCTCCTTAAAGATATCTAAAAACCAGTGTTGGCTAAAAAAGGGCTTATACCTTTCTATCCTATCGTCTCTTTTAAAAGTGATTCCTTTTGTTACCTAGCTTCTTTACCTGCAGTTATTTATTCATTTCCTGAGTTAACTTTTAGTTTACTAATTCTCAATTCAGTAGTTTCACCTCTAAGAGTTAGAAATTGAGGCCTCAATGCTAGATTGGGGAGTAATAGTACACATTCCTGAGCCTATATAGCAGTTTCATTCAACCAATAGGCCTTTGTCAGTCTTATAATAGATCCTGACACACAATAAAGATCCCAACGTACAATCTAGCTTTAATTTGCACTTAATGAACAAGTCAGAAAATATATTTAATGAGCATTACTAATGCAACAGTTCTATAATATTTAGCACTGTGCAGCTGCATCTCCATACCCCAAGAGAAAGCAAGTATGTGAATTACTGCTGAGAAAAGGAGCCAACGTCAATGAAAAGACAAAAGAGTGAGTGTTCTTATGAATGCTTTTAAGTGATTAGAAGGAATTTTGTAGAATACAACTTAATTGCAAAAATTTGTTTTTAAAAGCTTCTTGACACCTCTCCACGTGGCATCAGAAAAAGCTCATAATGATGTAGTAGAAGTGGTTGTAAAGCATGAAGCGAAGGTATGAGATACTAATTATTTTTCTTTGTTTGCTGAGATTATGCTAAAACACATAGGTAATGTTGAACTTGACTGAAGCCTGTGAATTTTATACAGTTACTTCTTAAAATACACATATTTGTATATATATATAAAACAGACACTTATATAGCATTATCTGTATAGGTTTCGTGATTTTACTTTCCATTATGTGGAATACAGGGTAGTTTATACTCATTACTGATACTGTCATTAACAGTGCATGAAAAAAGTATTTAGTTCTTTATTATGTAGTAGGAGTATTGAATCTGTTCTAGAAGAATGCACTGGAGAGGAGGAGACAGTGAGTGAAAATAACATGCAAGGGGTCTGGATCTTAAATGAAGAGAGAAAATGAAGAGAGCTGGAAATGGTTTTGCAAAAATTAAGATGAAGTCAATATACTGCAAAAATTATATAACGGGGTTGTCAAATTATGGTCCACAGATCAGAGCTGCCCTCCTCCACCCCACCCCACACCCCTCCCCTGCAGCTTGGAGAATGGGCAGTGAGTTGCAGCCAGGGCAACAGAAGAGACATCACCAGGGTACTGCTACTTGCCTAATTTGGTTTATTCACTCTGCTGCAGCAAGGAAGGGAGCAGGGTCCTACTGCACACCTTTTCCCATCTATTCTCTCTACAGGAGAATATGGAGATTAGCAGCCCATGGCAGGTACTAGGTCACAAGCAACAGCCTGCCAAACCTGCTGTAACATGTAATTTGGTCAGGTTTGGGGGTTTTTTTGCATAGGAGAAGAATGGAAATAGGTCCGTTGTATCATACTTCAGTCACAGAAGGTGGCGGAAGTAAGAGTTGGGGCTCTGGCTTGTCAGGGAGACTAACTTTTTAATATGACCTCCAATAATAACAGATCTATAATTTTCCATGTGTAGAATCTAATTATTGTGGGGGCTGCCTTTAATTTGAAGCCTTTGGGTAGATCCAGTATGTTACTGAAATTCAGTAACCTCCTTGTAAGGTTAAGAAAAATATTTGGAACATCTCTGTATATCAGTAGAGAATTTTAACAACTTCCTTTTTATGCTTTCTAAGTTACATTTCAGTAGTTCAACATCCCTCTAACATCACTGGATTTTTAGTAATCATTTTTTCTTCTGAAGCTGCAGGTACTTTTCAAAAGCTATCAGTAGCTTAAGGTTGAATGTCAAAGAGAGATTCTGCATATTCTTCTAGTTTAAATTCTGTGTTGAGGAGAGAGCTGCTTTTTTAATTCTGAACATAACTTCCCCTGCAGTACAAGACCAGTGGCTCTTTTTAATGAAAAAGTTATCTTAAGCTTCTGTAAGTTACCCTTATCCTCATCACTCAACTCCCCAAACTTATTCTTCCCTAGCACCTTATATAGACTATGCTGTTCTGTCTCGCAACAGGGATGATAGTAGGGACATCAGGCAGTGGGTTGATCAAGTAGTGAGTGGGCACTCTGTCTCATGGTGGACTGCATAGTCATTCAGGGCTTTGTCCCTTTTGGCTCTTTAAGCTGGCAGGTCTACTTTGGCTGATTTATGAAGTGAACAGAAAACAGGCTTCCATTGCATAATGTAAGTGGAAGTAGAGGTCTGGGCTGCTTCCCATCAGAAGCTGATGAAACAAATGGATCACCAGGCAGTTGATAGTACCTAAAATTCTTCACTGCACTCAGCACCTTGATCATACTTCTCATCCTTTTATGCTTTTGGAGTTGTAGAAGGGAAGACTGTCATCAGTGTTCCTCCTGCAATAGTGCTGTGACAGTGACTGGCACAGCTACAGCGTAGCAGCTAGCTGTGTCCCAAACTCAGTGAGAACTAAAACTAAGTAAAGTTGGTAATTTGGAGAGTTGGAATAAATTTTGTCAGGATTGATTTCTGCCATTGATTCCTTTCCACTATTTTCTTACCACTATCTGTAGGTCCAAACTAAAGATTTTGGGAAATGTTTAGAAAAATCATTCTCTGCACCATATCTCAACTTGACAGATTTCATTTTATGGAATGATTCCCCGCCCTTCACCTATCAACATACACCAGTTGTTACTAGCTGTTGTTACAGCAGATGTAGAGGCCCAACTGTATCACTTTTACCATTAGTGGCTAAATTACATTTTCATGCTTTACAGAGTATTTTTGCATGGAAACAGGGATCAAATTTGCTTTTTTAATAAAAACCAAGATACTCTTTAAGGGCCTGAAGGTCAGCTCTGTTGACAGCATGTTTGGTCTAAAATTCCATGTGATCATTTGTGAATATAAGGCCTTTTTGGTGGACTTAATTCCTGTCAAAAGACATTCTTAAGGTTCTCTGTTCTCTTTAGGTTAATGCATTGGATAATCTTGGTCAGACTTCTCTACATCGAGCTGCACATTGTGGCCATCTTCAGACATGCAGATTGTTGTTGAGCTCTGGATGTGATCCATCCATTGTGTCGCTGCAGGGTTTCACAGCTTTGCAAATGGGGAATGAGAGTGTGCAGCAACTACTACAAGGTACTACTGTACTTTTGTTTAAAATAGTGTAATGTTTTGTTTCACTTGCATCAGTAGGCAGTAAGGGATAGCACTGAGATGAATTATAGAGGCAGTTTGTATGCTTGGCTTACCTGCAAAAGGAAAATGGCAGGATTTTATGTAAGTCTAGTAGAGTTCGTTCTTACAGCCAGAGTTGCATGTAATGTGCTGCTGCCGCCATTTGCTGTGGTTGATGCCGGCCCTTGTATTATCCCACAGTAGTCAGCTTCCGGGATTGTATTACAGTAATTGGCAGTTTATTCTAACATAGTGGGGTCTGCCACCTAGAGTCAAGTTGAAGAAACACTGAGGAGAAACCTGTTGTAAAGTGAAGGTAAATAGTGGCCACTTTTGATTTACTTTTGTGACCACAGGTTAAGAGGGTATACACAGTTCTCAGATTTTTCACTGAATAAAAACCTGAATAGTAATAAGCTCAATAAATAAGCATCCGGATCACTAAAATTCTCAAACTGAACATGTCATTGACTGGTTCTACAGTATTTCGTAATAGCGGAAATAACAATGCTGAAAGCAAACGTAATATTGCTTTGGAAACCTGTAAGTACCAGGTTACAACGACCAGCTACAGTTCGAGTTATATGTGAGGTAAATTGACTGGTATATTTTGAGATGTGTTAAAGGGCAGTTCCTGAAATACTATTTAGTCTGATTTTAAGTGCTTATTCTTGCTGAAGAAGTTTTTAAATTAGAGACAAGTAACCTTCATTTCTTTTATAGAAGGCATCCCATTAGGTAATTCGGATGCAGATCGACAATTACTAGAAGCTGCAAAGGCTGGAGATGTAGACACTGTAAAAGTAAGGTTACAACTGTATTTTGTGCTATCTGCACAAGGGCATATCTTGTCAAACCATGACAATATTTTCTAAAACAGAAAAAAGCTTTCCTGTGTAAGTACCATAGAACCATAATTTTTACCTGATTCCCTCATGGTATGCAAAAGTTTCATCTAATAAAAAAAACAATTTGATGTGGGCCAATTCTGAAGTCTTCAGTTCTTAATTGGAAAAAACTTAATATTGTCCGTAGGTGTGGATTAAAAGAGAGAAAAGGAATTGTTTTAATTCTTTGCTCTTGGAGTTGCAGAATCCCCCTAATGAAAGTTATGGCAATTAATCCTGACTTTATCCTGAATGTCAGGGGAAATTATATCTATGTGTTATTTAGGGATGCTAAATTTTCTATTTTTGGGGGGGAAGTGTTTTTTTTTAAAGAATACGCAGAATAACTAGTATTTGCATGTTTGAATGTCAGCTATATGTATAGTGATATATGTTTTGGTTCTTGGCCTCCACAGAAGTTATGTACGGTTCAGAGTGTGAACTGCAGGGACATTGAGGGGCGTCAGTCCACACCGCTGCACTTTGCAGCAGGATATAATAGGGTGTCTGTAGTTGAGTATCTTCTTCAGCATGGAGCTGATGTTCATGCAAAAGATAAAGGGTGAGTACGCATTTTATATTTATTTGGCAGATGTGGTTGATTTTTTTGTGTTAGTTGTAAACCTTTGAGTTCTGCTAGTTGGTTCATATTCTGTATACAGTAAAAGCTGTGTTAACCGGCACTTTATTAGCCAGAAAACTCTATTAACCGGCATCCAAGCGACACAGCACCAGTGAAATCAGAAGTACCACTTCCAGGGGACTTCCTGTTTTGCCGCCGTGAGCTGAGGTTTTTTTGCCACTTTTTTTGGCCCACAGCAGCCCAGGGCAAAGCAGCCTGTGCAGGAAAAAGCAGCCTGTGCGGACCCCCACTCCCAGTCCCCCAGCACACTGACACCGGGGAGTGCACCAGATGGTGCACATTTGATTACCCGAAATATTTGATTAATCAGCATTCCCCATTCCCAGGGGATGCCAGATAACAGAGCATCTACTGTACTTATATTCATAGATGCTAGGGTTGGAAGGGACCTCAACAGATCATCAAGTCCGACCCCCTGCCCTGGGCAGGAAAGAGTGCTGGGGTCAGATGACCCCAGACAAATGCCTATTCAGCCTCTCTTAAAGACCTCCAAGGTAGAAGCCTGTTCCAAATTCTGGCCACCCTAATTGTGAACAAATTCTTTCTAATGTCCAGCCTAAATCTTTTCTCTGTCAGTTTGTGACCATTCTTCCTTGTTACTGCAAGAGGCACCCTGGTGAACAGAGGATCTCCGGTTCCTTGCTGCACCCCCCCAGTGAATTTGTAGGCAGCCACAAGATCACCTCTCAGCGTTCTTTTTGAGGGCTGAAGAGATCCAGGTCCCTTAATTTCTCCTCATAGAGCTTGGCCTGAAAACCCTTAACGATACAAATGGCCCTTCTCTGGACTCTCTCGAGGTTATCCACATCCTTCTTAAAGTACGGTGCCCAAAACTGGATGCAATACTCCAACTGCAGTCTGACCAATGCTGCATAGAGGGGATGTATCACCTCCTTGGCAGTATTTGTCATGCATCTGCTAATACATGATAAAGTGTGGTTAGCTTTGCTGATGATTTCGTCACACTGATGACTCATGTTCATCCTGGAGTCCTCTGTGACTCCAAGATTCCTTTCCACTTCTGTGCTGCTGAGAGGCTCACTTCCCAGCCAGTAAGTACGCTGGATATTTTTATGCCCTAGATGCAGTATTCTGCATTTGTCCTCGTTGAACTGCATCCTATTGTGTTCTGCCCACTTTTCCAACCTGTCCATGTCCGCCTGCAATTGTTCCCTGCCCTCCGGTGTGTTCACTTCTCCCCACATTTTAGTATCATCTGCAAACTTGGACCGAGTACACTTCATGCCCACATCCACGTCACTGACGAAGACATTGAAGAGTACAGGTCCAAGGACCGAGCCCTGAAGGACCCCACTGCCCACATCCTTCCAGGTTGATATCAACCCATCTACCACAACTCTCTGGATGTGACCCCCAAACCAAGTTGCCACCCACCAGACAGTCTAATCTTCAGGCATTTCCTATTTCTTTGGAATATCTGTGTAATACCACAGGAAAATATTGTTTTGTAGTATTTTTAGGACCTGAAAATATAGCTAGCATATAGTTTGTAAGAAGTGAATCATGTAATTCTGGCAAGTCAAAAAAAACATTTTTCTCATTTCTCACACTTTTCACATCTAAAGAGTATGTATGTTAGCTGTTGGCATTAGTACATTATTGTTTTTGTTAATGCTGTCAGTTTAATTGACAAGAGAAATAGCGAGCAGCTTTTCCTAAAGGTTTAAAAATAAGTATTTATTCCTGAGGAAGATGTGTGTGAAATGCAATAAATACCTTAATCTTACAGTAGCACTAGCTATATAGATAGCTGCTTTTCATTTTTATCTGTTTCTTTTCAGAAGTTCAGGAGATCTGTAATTATGTTCAGCAATAGAGTAGAATATTTATGGTAGTATGTGTCATTCCTAAGAACGAGGTTTGTTTTATATCGAATATTGAAAATGCAAATTAGAGTTTCTTTTGATACAAAATGTAAAACCTAAACGTAACATGTATTAAGAAATGTTTGCTTAAATCATGTTTTTTAGTGGACTTGTCCCATTGCACAATGCTTGCTCCTATGGTCACTATGAAGTAGCAGAACTCCTTGTTAAACATGGTGCAGTTGTAAACGTAGCTGATTTGTGGAAGTTCACTCCCTTACATGAAGCTGCAGCAAAAGGGAAATATGAGATCTGCAAACTTCTATTACAGGTACTTTGCATGTTAAGGAGAAGGAGGTTAACAATAGAATTTACATTATTTAAACATTTAATTTTAATAATTTTGGCAGGGCTCCTTTAAGAACCTACATTTTATTTTGAGGGCTCCAACTGATAATTATTAAACAGGTAAATTTTAAAAATGAAATACAGCTAAAAGGAACATTGTTTTTCCTTTAAACACTGTGTTGAGTCTTTTGGACTCTTGGATATATTATAGCTTTTCTATACACAGGTTGAACATGAATTGAAATAAATTGAGTGAGATGTGTAAGAACAAGGAAGTCTTACTTTGCTTATATATGCTTTGAAAAAGTTGTGAAAAATGAGATGAATACACAGCACCCTCCAGATTTTTTTTTATGTTCACAGCATGGGGCTGACCCAACGAAGAAAAACAGAGATGGAAATACTCCTTTGGATCTTGTTAAAGATGGTGATACAGATATTCAGGACCTGCTTAGAGGAGATGCAGCTTTGCTAGATGCTGCCAAGAAAGGGTGTTTGGCCCGAGTAAAAAAGCTGTGTTCACCTGACAACGTGAATTGTCGTGATACCCAAGGACGACACTCAACACCACTACATTTGGCAGGTTAGAGCTTTTAACTTCCAAATATGCAGCTGATTTTATCAGGTTCATTAAAAAAAAATGTTGTATTGTAACTGTGTTGACTGGTGAGTCTTACTAGAATGAGCACCATCATGCATTGTTGTTAGTGGAACTGAGATTCTGTGCTCCCATCACTTAAATCAGTCACTATTTCTCTACATTATGATAAGGAGCATATTTAGGCTGTTCTTTCCAAAGGGCACCAGCACTTCTATTAGTCAAATGAGTAAAGCCCAATTTTCCCTTAGTGAAGTTAGCTTCTGTGATCTTAGGAGGCAGAGAAGAGCTTCTGTTGCCCAACCTTATGCTCAGACACAGGAACTGTTGTTATCTTTTCAGTGTTCCAGACCCTAGATTTTACATGGGAGAGGGGACAGACAGGTAAATCCCACTGACAGTCACAATTTCAAACTTTCTGACTGCCCAAAACCTACCACAGGTTTCCATTCCAGAGGATTTAAGGAATGAAGAGAAAAGGACTTAAGTGAGGTGATTTTGCATGTGGTTGAGACATCTAATGCTTAAATATTTTTTAAGGCAATTAAAACGCCTAGTAAGAAGTTAATAGACAATCTTTGCTTTGCCCATTAAATTACCATATTTACTGAATGTCACAGGCCAGCAGGGCACTGTGAGTGTATCAGTTTGGTGGCAGGCTGGCTGGGTGCTGCAACTGTATCAGCTACTGGGCTGTTTGGTTCAGGATCGAGGAGGCAGAGCTGGGAGTGAAGCAAAGACAAGTTTCACTTTTAACAGTAAAGACAAATTTTACTTATAGCAGCAAAATAGCAACAAAAATATGTTTAAACAGCAAAATATGGTTTACACATATAACAGTTAATAAAAAGGTTAAGCTAATAAACAGACAATGTAGGAATAAAAGTTAAAAATTTGCACTAATAATAAAAACAGACAGACAAATTGACAAAGAGTTCCCATTTGGTTAGCAATTTATCGATAGTCCCTTAGCACCAGGTACACATCAAGTTGATCCAGCAAAGTCGGATGCTGTTGGAGGGAGCACTGGGGAAGGTCCTTCAGTCAGGATCTGGTCCTTGCTCACACTGGGAGTCTGGAGTCCAGCCTTGGAACAGCAATGAACATTCTGTTCTGTCCTTCCTGCTGGTCACCTGACGTGCATGTTCTGTTATATCCTGTCCTGTGCTAATCGGTTGGCTTTAGAGCCACTCACAATCTTGCCCTACAGCTGTTTACCCTATGGGGTTAAAAGGTGTTAGAAATTATTATAATAGGTTACTGCCTAAACTTGGGTTTACCCAATAAGCAAATCACACCACATCACTTTGGGGTCTGAGATTAGCATTTTTCCCCACCTAAGTGCAACCCGCTTGGAATTTTTGAAATGTGTTAATTATACCTTGTGGTCAGGTTTGTTAATTCTACTGACCTTTAAGCAAAAATTGTTAGATTAGCTAAATTTGCAGTTTTGTTTTCTAGTTCTGCTTCTTGGGGCCCATGTTAGTCTTACAATTGGTACAGACAGTTAATTTTTACATTACAGTTATGCTTCTCACTGAGAGGATATGTCTGTGGGAAACAATCTTGCAAGCTTTGCCTTACGTAATGTTAACTATATGCCATTACCAGATGCTTTCAAGAGGGAAATCTTTTTTTTTTGCTGTAAGTTGCTCATTAACACCTTTGTTTCTGACCATCACAACTGAATCAAAGATGAGTTTGAATTTAAGATGCCTGTGCTCCCCCATAATTAGATTTTTTATGTGGAAGATTATGTTCATGTCCGTCTGTCTCCCCCACCTCCCTCTCCCCCATTTCAGTGAGGGAACAGGCAGCTTGACAGGCATCCCTTGAGCCCCCCTGCCTGCCCCATGAACCCAGCTACTTGTTCTCCCTGCTGCAGCTCTTGCCCCAGCCCCAGCCAGGTAGCAGCGGCGGCTCCCACCCCTGGCTGGGTCTAAACCGGAGTTTCCAGTTCCAAACTGGAGCCCGAGCTAGAGTCAGCAATTCCCTACTACTCTGTGGTTTTCCCTGGACACCCTGTTCCTCCCCCGTACCACATGATCTCCTCTGTGTTCCCTCCTCCGTGTTGCCATGGGCCACCTTGACCTGCACTGGCCAAACAGCAGCAGCAATATTAGCAGCTTGAGCCCTAGCCATGGAAAAGCTTTATACTCAGAATCAGAAGTCTATAAGTGCAGGCTGTTCACGCCATGATTTTCAAAGACGTTGTTTTTTTCCTTATGTTTTAGTTATTTATATATTAAAATCATGTGATAGATTGGCATAATACTCATTTAACCCATAACTAAATGTCTTCAACTAGCATTGAGAATAGTCCAAGAATTCTGTGAACAAAGTGGAATTGGCCACTTTTTTGGTGAGCTTGCTATCCCAATATGGTTAAAAACAACCAAGTGAACTTGGTATAACTATGACACTGGTTTCTCTGAGGACTTCTATATTCTCTCTTCCTTTATTACGTGTTAGCTGGTTACAACAATTTGGAGGTTGCAGAGTACCTGTTACAACATGGAGCTGATGTGAATGCACAGGATAAAGGAGGTCTGATACCTTTACATAATGCAGCATCTTATGGGGTAAGTGCCTTTTATCCTTTTACCTTCTTGGAAAAAAATTAAAGCTTTAAAAACAGGAATGAGATGCTGCTTTTATTCATGTGAATGATGTGGTTTGTTTGAGTATCTGTTTATATAAAAACCTAAGTTTTTTTTTTAATCTCATTTGTAATTAAAACTTATAACTTGATCACACACTTAGCCAACTGCAAATGTGGGGACTTTAAATTTGTGAAAACATTGTTGGAATGTATTGTGCTTGAAAGGGTCATTCAGAAACTTGTAAAATCAAGCAGTTCTGGAGACATCTTGTAAATTTGTTTTTCCTGTATGCATGCTGCTAGAATATCACCGGTGAGGTTTTTAACTTCTGTGACTGATCTTTGTAAGATTTCAGCTATATGTGAACCCAAAACATAAAATGGGACCCTTCTGTATTTGGAACCAGCCTGGAATCAAAATAGTTTAAATCCATTTAGAGCCAGGGATCTGAATTAAAGTACCCCCACCTCAAAGAAGTTCAAATTTGGAGTTATGATTTGGTCCCATCTCTGTGTTTACAGAAGAAAATGCCTTAATTGTACATTGGTACGTTAGGACTAAGCTCTTCTGTTTTGTGAGAGTTTACTTTTTCATATTACAATTCAGATCAGTTCTAGGAAAATCAGATGAAAAGTTACACAAAGGTGTGTATAATAATTCTGAGGGATACAAGATATTAAATTAGCATTCCAGAACGTAACAGGATATTTTATTTTCCAGCATGTAGATGTAGCAGCTTTACTTATAAAGTATAATGCCTGTGTGAATGCTACAGACAAATGGGCTTTCACACCTTTGCATGAAGCAGCCCAGAAAGGAAGGACACAACTTTGTGCCTTGTTATTGGCACATGGGGCTGATCCTACTCTGAAAAACCAAGAAGGACAAACACCTTTAGACCTGGTCACTGTAAGTGATGGGATCTTCGGGGAGATCTGTGGTTAGCTGCTGTTAATGGCTGCTCAGCTTTTTTCCTGGCACCAAATTTTAAAAAGTGAGCTTCTGTGCAATTTGTGAACACTTTGGATTCTCTAGTGTTTATACAGGCTTGGTTCCAAAGGCCTAATACACTTTCATTTATCTACTTTTTCTGTTCTGTAGCTTAAGACTGCTATAAAACTCTTGTAATTGCATAATGAAGAAAGAAAATCAATGGTTAATTTTGTTCCAGAATTTAGACTTAGTACTTCTACATCTTGCTTATAATAGTTATTTTGCCTGACACTTAGACCACGAAAATTGCTTTAGCAGTAAAATTTAAACAAATTTTATAAGTTATAATATCCTTCCCATTTTATAATACTAGACGTGACTGTTTAAGATGTTATTCTAATGCAATCAAATGCTGAACCTTAAGTAAATGAGTAATAAGTTTTGTTGTCTTGTGTGTGTAACCGTATGCAAGTTTTTAGAAATAGCAAAAAAGGATTAAATCTTGGTGCATGGTAGACTTTTGTTTAGAGCTTTTTAAAGTAGAAAAATATTTCTATAAAAACTCAGTTGCAAATTAGTTGAAATGTGATACTTAGCATTAGCTTTTTTTCTAGGAAAATCTTTGAATAGAAAGTTTTTCTTCATTTTAATGAACTGTCTTTTGATATTTAGGCAGACGATGTTAGCGCACTGTTGACAGCAGCCATGCCTCTTTCTGCATTGCCATCTTGTTACAAACCTCAGGTTATAAATGTATCTCAAACTACGGGACCCACGGCTGAACCCTTGTCTTCCGTTCCATCCAGCCCATCCAACTTGTCAGCTGCTAGTAGCCTTGACAACTTGTCTGGTAGCTTTTCTGAACTCCCATCTGTTGTTGCTACAAATGGTGCAGAAGGGGCTACAATGTTAGAAAAAAAAGAAGGTGAGTTGTTCTAAGATATGAATTATTGCCTCTTAAATTGTTTAAGGTATTCCGTGGAAATGGGCTTCATTCATTCATCATTCATTGAGAAGATTTTCAGTGTTTTTATATAATTTGAGTGGGTTTTCTAGGTATTCCTTAATTGTCAACAGAATTTCTAGTTCTGTTTTATATCCCCATTCGTTCTGTGTTTTTTCCAAGTTTAATGTGATGAGTGAGGTCTAAAAGTTCCATGTTTTTGGAGACCTTTAAAATGTCTTCAATTCCATACGCACACACCCCTCCCCCCCTTTGCAACCTTCTTACTGGTAAATAAGAATTTTTTTTTTGCTAGAAATCAAGTTTATCAATACTTTTATTAGTATAGACTTTTTGTAAACAATTAATTTCTGGATTCTAAACAATTGCTTTTAAATTAGCAGTCTTGAGAAGGTTGCTTATGTAGCTTTTGTTCACTATATAGAAATACAGTATTGGTTGCTGAAGAGTTGCCTTTTTATTTTTTAAAGAGCCTAGCACATTCTGGTTGGGTTTCACGAGAAACAATAATTGTCACATTAGGAATTTGACTATTTATTTTTAATGTTCACAAGTTGGTTTGCTTGTTCACTTTTTAAGAATTCTTGTATTTCCCCTTATTGCAACAGTATAATTCGTAGCATTGTAGAAAGTACAGTTATGAATGTAACTTATAAGCTGTTATGTTCAGTTCCAGGTGTAGATTTTAGTATAAATCAATTTGTGAGGAATCTTGGACTTGAACATCTGATTGACATATTTGAAAGAGAGCAGGTAAGTAGTATTTCTGTGCACCACTTTGCAGCCTAAAAAGGAGGAATGACAGGACTCTGCTAGGGATTATAGCATTAAGGCTGTCGTACTTACTGGGTCAGGCCAAAAATTCATCTAGCCCTGTCTGCTGTCACTGACAGTGATCAAATGCCTTATTGCAGTGGTTCTCAACCATTTTCAATTCAAGACAGCCCCTCCATAGCTTTTGTGTATTGGGCAGCACCCAGTTAAAAAAACTAATGTATATATTACAGTGCTTACCTTCTTGTAGAGGGGCTGGTCATTGTGGGGCAGGGAATTGGCCAGGCAGGGACAAGCCTGAGACTCCACTTTTTTTTCCTCTGATTTGTTTCCTCGCACCTTGGGGCAGCCTTCAGAGGATCTTGCAACACCCCAGAGTACCCCATCACCCTGGCTTAGAATCACTGCTTTACAGCAGTGGGGCCAACCTTTTGGCAGGTGTCACAAATTAGGCCATGTGCCCTCACCAAGTACCACTCTGACCCCTTGCCCTGCCTGATCGATCACACTGCTTCCAGCTCCTTGCCTAATCTGCTGCTCTGCATTCAGCTATTCCCTGATCTGTCATGTGCCCCACACACAAGTTGTCCATCCACTTATGGCACATGTGCTGCAGATTGTCCACCCCTACTTTAGAGGAAGACTATAAGAACATAACACACAAAGCAATCCATTCCCTTTACCCTTCCAAGTTACCATCAGTCAAAGGTTTAGGAGTGTCCTAAGCCTGACTTTTTTTTTTATTAGTCCCTGATGGACCTATCCTTCATAAATTTGTCTAATCTCTTTTTGAATCCAGTTAAGCTATTGGTCTCAGCCTCCACAATTGCCTGTGACAGTGAGTTCCACAAGTTAATTACACATTTGCTTTTTTATACACAAGTAAAAAAAGTACTTCCTCTTGTTTGTTTGAAACCTCCTCTCTGATAATTTCACCAAGCTCCCCCTAGGTTTTGTTTTATGAGACTTAGCACTTGTTTTCAATTCAATTTTTCTGCATCATTTGTGATTTCTGTAAACCTCTACTATATCCTGCCTCAGTCTTTAGTCCAAGCTAAAATGTCTTAGTTCTTTCATTGTCTTCTTGCATGGAAGCCATTTCATACAATTATCTTTGTTACATTACTCTGTAGTAGGAGTGGAGTGCTGCTGTAACTGTGATAGCCCACGAAATATGTGAGAAGCAAGGTTTTTTGTTTTGTTTTTTGGTACTCAAAAATTTGTCTAACGTGTTTTCCAACTGGATAGTTGGTTCAGTAAAAGATGCCACCAAAAAACACCTTGTTTCTGGTCTTTCTGTGAACTTTTCTAGGTCTATATCCTTTTGAGATGGAGCGATCAGAACCACATTTACCTGAATCCAAGACAACTTCAAAGTTAAGACAACCCCCAAATAATTAGATTCTACACATGGACAGTTTATAAAATTTGTTGTTATTTTCCATGAATAGAATCTTAACTATTTGGGGGGTGGAGGTCATTTTAATTTTTTCCTCCATCCCCTCCACTGCTACAACAGGGAAAGCAATAGCTTGCAGGAATGAGGGCATTTGCCTGAATCCTATCCTGTGCCCCCACCCACCCCACCATCTGCACCCCCTGCTGCCTGCCTGTCCTGCAGCTCCTGGTCCTGTGCCCCTCATCCCTTGCAGCCTCACCCCCCACAGCCACTTACCATCCGTCATAGTTCTGGTCCCATTCTGATCTGGGATGCAGACCATGTGGTAGCTCAGGCTCCAGCCACACCATACACTAGAGTTTGCAGCAGCAGGAGCTCCGGCCCTGGGTTGCCAGAGCTGCCTGTCATTGCCACTACTGTATGGCTTGGCCAGTACCAGAGTTACCATGTGCTCTGTGCCCTGAGTCAAAGTCATAGAATCATAGAAGTAGGGTCAGAAGGGACCTTATAGATCTTCAAGTCCAACCCCCTGCCAGGGCAGGAGAAAAAAAAAAACTGGGCTCAAATGATCCCAGCTAGGTAGGCATCAAGCCTCCTCTTAAAGACCCTCAGGGTAGGAGCCAGCACCACTTCCCTTGGAAGTTGGTTCCAGATCCTAGCCGCCCTAACTGTGAAGTAGTTCTTACAGATGTCTAATCTAAACCTACTCTCCAACGACTTATGGCCGTTATTTCTTACAATTGAGGATAAGCGGCGGGGCAGGGAGAGGTGGCAGGAGAGCAGGAGGCACTCAAATTCAGGACAATGGTTCCTCCCCCCATGTAAAAGGACATGGAAAAGGGACACACCTCATCTTGGAATTGAGTAATTACAGTACTTAAGATGTGAATGTACAACAACTTTTATATAAAAGTTATATATCATCATGGTGATGATTCCTGTTTAGTTTTCAGTTCCTTTCCTAATGATTCCTAGCACTGTATTGGTTATATTCATCCCTGTTGTCTTTTTGCTTTCAAATAGCATAAATAGCTTTTTAAGGAAAATCAGAGAAGCAAAGCCAGGGAGAAGTGTCATTAAAACATTCAGAGTGCAACCAGTGTTACTTGTTGCCAAAAAGGCAATGTCATTCTGTTTTAACAAGATTGTCCTCAGTAATGCTTCCCTGCTCAGCCATGTGAGGCCCTAGCTGGAGCACACTGTCTTGCTTTGAACACCATGCTCCGGGAAAAAAATTGGGCAAAATGAAGGAAGTCTAGAGGGACCAAACAAAAGTCATAAGAGTTTAAAAAATATGAACTGTGAGAAGTGGAATGAATTAGGTTGGTTTAGTTTAGGAAGGGGGAAACAGTTAATAAAATACGTTACAGTTCATTATAAAGGGGATAGTGAATAGTTCTCCTGATGATAGACAAATAATTGCTTTAATTTACAACAAAAGAAAGTTGAATTAGTAAGTATAAGAATAATTGCACACTAAAACTTACCTGGGGAAGTTGTGTGATATCCATTCTGTTCCAATAATGGATGAGACAAAGATCTTGTCACATAGTTGTAGGTACAATTGGTCCTGCCTCAGAGCAAGGGAAGGACTAGACCGCCTGCCAAGGTCACATCTAGCCCTACATTTCTGTGACTTCTGATTTTAATTTAATACATTTATGTTAAAACTCCTTACGTTTTTGTTTTTCTAATCGGCTTGCTAACGTGTCTGCACATTTCTGTTTTAGATTTAACATTATGCCACTTGGATACTTTATGCTGTTAATTCTCTTTTGAATTATTTGCATTTAGTTGAACACTACTATTAAGTGTTCATTAAAATGTATGCAGCAATCTAAACTAATAATATTGTTCTTTGCTCTAGATAACATTGGATGTATTGGTTGAAATGGGACACAAAGAATTAAAGGAAATTGGAATCAATGCTTATGGTCATAGACATAAAATAATCAAAGGCGTTGAAAGATTGATTTCTGGACAGCAAGGTATGTTTTCACTGATTCAAGATAAAATGCAACTCCTTTAACAGAGGCCTTTATCATGTTAAAAAAGTTGGTGATACAACTATAAAACAAATGTGGAATGTATACCAATCAAATATAAAATGGTGCTCACTGGCAATATATGACCAAAGTTTCATTCAGCTGAAGTGAGAGCATTTTTTGGTGATAAAGGTACTAAATTCAAAACAATTTTTAATATTTTGTATTTAGTACCTAGTACCTTTTTTAATACATTGTCATGAGCATAGTCTGTATTGACTTCAGTTTTTTGCAGCAGGTGACTTATAAGCTTTTTGGAATTGGGACCATATTTATTTTATTTTTTTGAATTAGCACAGCACTTAAACTGTAGTGCTGGATGAAGGCCCCTGCTGTATTACAGTGTGCTGTACAAACAGTGTACAGTGCCTAACATAGGTGATGTAGCATCTCGTGATAAAAGATTCCAGGGGTCTCAATACAATTACTGTTCATGCTGTCACACTTTGTTGGAGGCACTGTGTTCATTTTCTCAGAAGAATGACTGGAGTTTTAATTTTTTTTCTTAAAAAGTATAGTCCATGTTTCCAGTGGAGCTGAAATTAACATAGCTGCTTTGTTTAGTGGCTTCAGCTTGTACTGAGTTTTATGCTAAAATCTTTTATTTGTGCTGCATTGATGCCAGCACAATCCTGGGAATAGCATGCTTCATTTAACTATGACTGCAGAGAAAACAAAAAAGAGCATGCTATTTTTTTTTCCTGTCTTGCAGAAACACTGGCTGCTATTGTCTTGCTGGGTTTCATAGCAGTAGAATAAATTAGTTAGAATTGCTAGGATTTATTTCTCTAAAGACACCATCTGTGAATTTTCACTCTGAAGTCTGGGCTCCCTAGCAATGAGAGAGGTGCAATTTCTCAAGCCCTAAAATGACTTCTTGCCTTTAAGAGCTGTAGTAGTAATGACTATTTACCTGGACCTTTAATAACTCATTTTTAAAAAATTGCATTCAGCGTCCTAGGCAGGAGCTGTAACTCTTAATTTGCCAGTCCAGCCCAGTATCAATGGCCCTTTGGAAGCCTAGTTCTGATAGTTTCCCTAGCTCTGAAGATTTTGAGGACTTTTAGAGCACTTGCACACATGCGGAGAGCCTGCTCTGACAGACTGGAAATCCAGCATTTTGGAGCAGACTCAATTAATCGAGTCTGCTGGAGAACATAAATTGACGCACTCTGGCAGCCTCACACTTCGCATATGTATATTAGCGCACCTCTGCACTGAGAAAATGGTGGTGGTGCACTTTGAGCTAAAACACATTTGATGCGCTTTAGTTCAGAGTGCACTGCTGCCATTTTCTCAGCATGGAGGCGCACTGCGCCTCTGATGCATGTGTTCCCAATGTGGTGCCAGGTGCTTTTAATTAGCATCGCTCGCGTGTCAGAAATGCATGTAAAAATGCCCTTACTCTCTTGCCTTAAAAGGCCTTTATTTCCATCTATAATTGCTCACTACCTTACCTCAATATTTCAGTGCAGTGCTTCAAAGCCTTGTTTATTTTAGTGATTAAGCTCTTGTTTCTAGTCCCTAGGGTTCTGGTGCTTCCATGCATTCATACTAGTATTCTGGCACCCTTCCCTAGATACAATATAGACACTGTTTCATGCACTTTCTTTTGGAGTTTTATTTTGAAGCTTTCCTTAAGTCAAAGATTCTTGTTCCTACACCCTTTACATAACTTGTTGGGTTCCAACCTCAGACCGGTGAGTTCAGGGCTTTCAGCAGAGTGCAGGTACTTTGAAAAGTATTAACTGACTCCTTTAAAACATACAGGTTTGTGGCAGAAAGTGCTGGTGGAATACCCTGTGTTGAGGTGCAGCTTGCTACCAAGACCCTCAGTATCTATCTGTAGCCACCTGCTAGTATATCCTGGGCAGGCCATTTTACAAAACCGCCTAGAGCACATCTGGCTCTATTTTTACATCCCCATTCCAACTTGCATGTAATTCCTGATAAAGAACTGGCAACAGCCTCTGTATTAAATCCCACTGTCTTTATTTGCAAATTCAGAGCTTTCCTACAAAAAATTGTCTTTGAAGAATTAGCATCAGGCTCTGTCTTCCTGGGGTTGAGGACTGCTTTTACACTTTTGTCAGTGCCACCTTCATTCCTATTCTGCTCCAAGTTTTGAGGTAGAAATACTTGCCTACTGAAGTGGTGGATGAGATAGATGACCCAATTATTTCCGTGTGGCAGGCATGTTCCTGTGCAGAGGTCAGGGCTTGCAATTCAAGTGTCAGTTTATCCTGTGTATGTTTCCTTCAGCTTTAATACCAGAGGTTTGTGGTACCTTTTACACAGAGGATCTGGTTGCAATGATCACAGTGACTGGATTTCAGTAGTACTGTCTCAAATAGTCCAGGTATCTGCCAAGAACAGTGTGGCAGCCTTATCAGGAATACATCATCCATAGTCCTTCTGCCTCAGTATGTTACAGCAGTGCACAAAGAGATGCCTATGGGCAGAAGATGCTATCATGCCCAGGACTGTGTGTGTAGTTTCTGCAACATACACAAGTTGGACATATGCAATTTGGCATGAGATGATTGAATCAGCATGTTCTAGGCACTTTTGTGTACTCCTGCCCATCTGATACAGGAAAATTCATGGTCTGAGCAAGAAAAATTACTTATGTCATCTAGAATGAGCCATATTTAGCAAGACATGTCTTTTTTACTGCAGAGATGCTCAAATGTGTATGTATACTAGTTTTTTCTGCTAGCAAGAGTTCAGACAAAGTGAAGGAAACGGGAAAACTTGAGGTGCTACTTTGAGTCTGTGCATTCTACTCCCAACTGGACCCTGTGCCAACAGTGTCCATTCAGGTTTGGGTATGTGCTACCCTGTTTCCAGTTTGGAGTAGTAATGTGCGTGAAGCAATGCAGTATATTTTGAACATATTGCTGTCAGGCTTAGTAAATCTGCATTCTGATCATCGCTAAATTGACTAAGGGACTTGGAGGTCCAGGGAGATGCATAAGCCCTTGGGTTGGTGAGAGAAGTTGGCTTATGCAATTGGCCATCTCCGGATGCCTTGGGGACCAGTGCATTTAGAAACTGGAAGTTCTGCCTGTCTTCAGCTAGGCAGCGTATACCCAGGGCTGAGCCTTTTGTAATTCTGCTCTTCTAAAGATATCTTGCAAACTTGATTTTTTTTTTTTAAAACACTAAAATATAAGGCGCTTAAGATGCTAGAAGAGCAGCAGAAATGGGACTTAAGTCTCATCTTAATTTTAAATTGCAAAGTTTTAAACCACAAATAGAGATTTTTCCCCCTTGCCTCTATCTCTAAATGGTGTCTCATATTGAGCTGTTTGTGTTTTTAATTTTGTTTTCTTAAATCTGTATCTGAAACTCTTATGTTCATGGTATTCATAGGTCTTAACCCATATCTCACTTTGAATACTTCTGGGAGTGGAACAATTCTCATAGATCTGTCTCCTGAAGATAAGGAATTTCAATCAGTGGAGGAGGAGGTATGTGCTGCTCCCTAGTCTCTCCATGAAGTGCCAGTGACAAAAGAATGGGATAGACAGATTGTTCCTGAACTATGTAGTAATACACTGATAAGTTGCCGAGCATAATGATTTAAAACTTGCATCAAGACGCTGCCATTTTCCTTCTTATCTGTGCTGTTCCACTGTCCATTGTTATAACTTATTTGCCTTTCCAACATACGTCACCACTAGTTAACTTAGCTTGTCTTCACCTGGAGAGGTTATTTCTTCAACAGAGAAATGTAGCCATTTTCCTGTATTCCAGAGCTAGATTCTAATCATTTATTACTTCCTCTGTATTCTCTCCTCAGGAGTTGAAGTATTTCACAGTACAGAATTCTTAAGTAAACACAATCAGTTGAAGAGTGGCAAACTAATGTAAATTGAGAACTACCATATTTAATCAATTACAAGATGAGGTTTTTTTCTCCCAAATCAGCATGGGGAAGGGAAAGCCCCTTATCTTACTTTTGTGTACAAGGAAACCTCATTAGATACATTTGTCAGTTGCTAAAATGCTGCAAAAAGCAGCATGTGCTCAGTAATGGAAACCATGTATGCAGTTGATTAAATGCTGCCAACCCTGAGCATAACTATAAAATGCATGCCCTGTATTGTACAGACATGCTGATGGGGAAACTACACTTTTTTTTTTTTAATTTTGGCTGCTGACAGACATGAAAAAACCCAGTGTCTGTATAGATTGGGCGCTTCAGCAGGGCTTTTAGTGCTTTTATCTAAAGCTGATTCAAAGAGCTGTTAAGTAAAAGTGCCAAAAAGGCCCACTGAAGTGTGCAATCTTTACAGACAGGTGAGCCAGGTCAAACTTAAGACAGTGCCTCTTCTGGGCATGTGCTGTGCTTGGCATCAGGGCACACCAAGCTTAAAGTAAAGCACTGGTTTATTTGAGGGGTGTTTTGTGGGGGCCAGTTCCATGTCTAAGCAGCATTTGTGTCTCAGGCAAAATCGGCAAAATCTGTTCCGAATTCTGTTCATGAAGTAGAGCTCAGTCATTCAAGTCTGTGGCACTACCAGCAGTAAGTATCTTACCTCCCAGACTCTTCAGCCTGAGGCTTCAGATATTTCCAAATCCGTGGCAAGCATCCTACGTGCAAGCCCTAAGCCCAGAGGCCTTGGAGTTCAGATGCCCCCTCGTCTCACTTGCCCCTGGCCAAAAAGCCAAAGGAGCAAGCTAAAGGGAACACCCAAGAGAAGGGGTGGGCAAAATATGGCCTACAGGCTGGATTCAGCCCACGAAGGGGTTTTGTCTGGCCTGCAGTAGGTCCCTTGGTCCCACCCAGCTGTGGTGCATCCTGCTGCCCTCTTGGCATGCGGTGGGACTGGGGCAGTTCTGTGGCTGGACTGCCTTCCTAGGCAGCCCAGGCAGCAGTGGCTCCTTCAGGTCTGCCGCTGCCCACTGCTGGTCACAGCCCCGTGGTACTGGTGGGGACCCACATATGCAGCCCGCACCTGGCACACCCAACACCTCCTCTGGGCTCACCTGTTCAGGTGCAGCAGTGGCTGCTGGGCAGAAACTTGTTTGGTGCAAGGGAAATGTGGCCTCTCCCCCTTGCTGCTGCTGGGCAATTCTTGCTGTAGCCATCTGTGCTGCACTGGGCTTCCCTGCAGCTCTGCTGCCGTCACCACTGCCCCTGGGTTGCCTGGTCCATGTGCTAATGTTTGAATTATACTATATAATTTGGGTTTTTTTCCCTGTTCCAAGATGGCAAATGCCATTACCAGAAGGAGTACTTCTGGGGGCAAGGGGCAGGACTTCTGGCAGCAAAGGCAAGGGTTTAGGGGGTGGGACTTCCAGTCCCAAGATGGCGACCAGGGAGCAGGGCACTTGCCAAGGAGTGGGGCCACCTTTTTGGCTCTTGATAGCTCACCAAAGCTCATTAAGCAGCCCTCAAATGGAAGTAATTGCTCAACCCTGCCCAAGACCAATCCCTTGTCACCATAAATTGTAGAGCTGAGAGCCTTGCATTTGGAGACTCTCACAGGAGGCAGCCCATCTGCGTAAGATATATGGCAGTGCCCATCGAGTGCAATTCCCCTCAGCATTGATGCTATTCAAGTCATAGTGAGCCACTACATTACATAAATTTCTATTTCTTCTTTACTCCCACAGCTGAGCTGTGCCTTTCTTTCCCATTTCCAATGATTCCCGTTTCTTCCCCAGCCTTAAATGTCTGGGGCAACATCACCAAACAGGACTCCAAACAGTTCACCCGGAATCCTTCCGTCACCCCATCTCTCAGCCTGGATCACATGATTAGCATAGCCCCATCCTTTATGAGGTGGAGCCAGACCAGGTTGGCCTGCATCTCATATGCATACAAATTTTTAGAGGATTTCAGGACTCGTGACTAGAATATACAGTTCCAGTCATGAGCTGGGGGCTAGTTAGCACATGGATCTTTTGTTGGGGGTATATGGAGTACACACACATACTGAGTAGTGCTGAGCTATGGGGTCATCATGTCTTAAAATGCTGTTGACTCTGGGCCCAACCAATGAACTATTTAGTAAATCATGAGCCTTTTGGATTTATCATGCATAGTTGGTACAAAGTGCTGCTTAAAAGTGTGTTTATGGGAGTACCTGTGCCAAACCTTGCAGCAGTTTCAAAGAAGGTAACAGTTCATCCAGAATTGATTCATAAGTGAACCAGTGCTCTTTCCTGCCTGGGGTGGGGGTGGAGAATGATCTATTGAGGTCCCTTCCTACCCTAACAACTATGAAAGTCTGTGGGTACGCTGTGCAAATTACTACAGCTATGTTTGTTTTAATGTCAGTGTTTTCAAATTTGCTTCTCACTTCCATGTGCTCGGGGAGAGTAGGGTCTAACAATAAGGGGCAGGGGGGAGAAGCTGCTGGGGGAAGGCAGAGAGCATAGGGGCTGCCTGACTCCCTGCCAGATTTATTTTCCCTGCTGTAGCAGTGGGAGAGGAATAAATTCAAGTCAAACCTTCAATATTCTATTCCTGGAAAATTATAACAAATATTCCATATACAGAATCTGATTATTAGGGGGTTGTCTTGTATTCAGGGTCATATTATATTCAAGCAAAGTATTTGAGTTCTATTTAGTTTCTGTAGAAATATCACAAAACCTGTTCTTCATGGATCCAGTGCTAACTTTTAGAATGGTTTAAAGCAGTGGGGCCAACCTTTTTTGGCAGGTCTGCCACATTAGCCTCTCACCCTCACCAGGTGCCACTCTGATACCCTTCCCATTCCCAATCTGTTGCCTTGTTTTCTGTTCCCATCCCTATGCTCCCTGCCTGATCTGCTGCTTTGCTTTCTGCTTCCTGCCCTATCTGCTGCTGTTCTGTTTATCCTTTCCCTGATCTATTGCATGCCACACACACACAGAAGTTGCTTATGCCATTTGTGACACTCATGCCACAGGCTGATATTGGAGTATTTGTTTGTTCAGCATTTATAGCCTTAAATGTCTCAATCTTCAGATGCAGAGCACAGTCCGAGAGCACAGAGATGGTGGGCATGCTGGTGGAGTCTTCAACAGATACAACATTCTAAAGGTACCATTCAGATCTCTGAAGTTCTTAATGGTGAATGTGCTCTGGAACTTTTGGCTGAGAATAAATCTGATTTATACAGGTAAAAATAGCTTTTGCAGGCCCTAAGGAGATCATCACTACAGCAACACCTTACTTAAAATTATAAGGGGTCTCCTTGCAGCAGATATTCTTGTTGTATTCAATGATCCAAAAACAGCTTGCCTATTTGGGGGAGGGGCTCCTTACATTTTTGTCCCTTTCCACTTTGTTTACTACTTGCTATTTGTCATATGTATCAAAATTGTGAGAGTGCTAGATTGTTGAATAGAAAATTTAGCATTAGATAATTTCATTCCTGCTAGCAGTATCTTCTGTAATTCTACCCACTCTAGAAAGGATTTTAGCCAAAGGGAAAAATTTTAACTTTTATATATTTATCATATAGGCTAGTAAGCTTGAGTGTATATAGTATTCATTGGCTTTGAAGTTTTTGTTACTATGTTTCTACAGTTTCTACCTAACCTTTGAATTAATCTGACAACAAGCCTAATAAGGAGATGTAAGTAGTGGGGACTGTTACATCACTGAATAGCCCCAGAAACTGTAGATGGCTTATAGCTTGTATTTCTCACTTATGGGAGATATTGTTAATGGTAAGAATATTATCAGGCAAGAAATTTCCCATTTGTACTCTTTTGATTCCATTGGTTTCTCAATTTTAAATGAAGTACTTCTGATGAAGATGATGGACTAGCTAAACTGAAAATGGGGCAAAAGCTTTTCTGCATGTATATATTTGAGTAAATGTTAGTATTTACATTTTCCCCACATTAAAAACTAAAAATAATATAGATAGTTAATGACATATGTAATATTGCCACCTATTTATAAAATATGAATTGACATTGAAAGTTACATATTTTTCCTCTTGATTCACTATATAATTTAAAAAGAAGCTCTCTTCAATTTGCTAAATGCAAAGAGAGCTTATTCATATAACAACTATTTATCTAATTTAAATACTAATGGTTATAGTAAATTAAGCCCTACCATACAGAGTATCATGATTTCAAGTTTAATTTATCATTTAAATTACTATTTTAATCATAGTTTTCCTTTATACTTTTTAACATAAATGAAAAAGCCCAGACTTTTTTGAAAAAATCATACCCCCTCCTGCCAGGAAACTTGGATTGGGAGAGGTGGATTTGTGCATGGTCTTGGAAGAGATCATAAGGCAGCCCAAGTGTAATATGGAAGGCAAGAGAGAGTCTATTAAAAATTTGAAGCAGGGGAATAAACTTTCTTTGGATTAAAACATTTTATTTTAGCAAAACTTAAGTGAACAGGAATAAAGGGATTGCACTCTTTTAACTTTCCAGTAAAAATCATAAACTGTGACTAGGACTGATTAAATTCAAAAGATGGTAAAAGATCGTCAGAGATTTAGAATATAATGGGTTTCAACCCTAGCTTTATATGGTGGAAGTTAAATTTATTCTGTCAAACTAGAAGAACTAGATCCTCCTCATTCTCTTCCTTTTCTTAAAACTTAAACATCCCTTGTGTAAGTGACCATTTGGGATGGTTCTGTTCTGGTAAAACTACTGTATATCCAAATGTCAGTCAAGTGATAAAGCAAAAAATAGATGTTGTCTGAAAAAATGGAATTTAGATTCAAATTTGTTTCAGATTCAAAAAGTGTGCAACAAAAAACTATGGGAAAGATATACTCATAGGAGAAAAGAAGTTTCTGAAGAAAACCATAACCATGCTAATGAAAGGATGTTGTTTCATGGTAAGGTCTTTGATTTTCAAATTTTCTTCCATTTTCAGTTCTGTTATGCTTGAGGAGAATGGTTTTCATTCTTGTCTTTCAATCATCAATAATAAAGTAAATTAAAGCTAGTTTGTTCCTAAATGTGTTGCAACTCTGTTACCAGTTTTGAATTCATCACTATAACTTAAACTACTTTTTTCAGTATCTTCTGTACATTTTGGATCCCTTCATCATGTAGCTTTGTGTGTACCCAGATATGACTTTCAAGTTACAGCAAAAGCAGTTCAAAGTTTGAAGTGGATGGGAAGAGGAGAAAATAATATTTCTGTAACTGGTTAAATTCTTGCTATTATTGGTCAGATAGCCAGATTATTGGAGGCACAGAGTACACTTACCTTTGGCAAGCCAGCTTTTTTTCCAGATGTGCTTTCTTGCATTTCAGTAAAGATTTGGTTTTTGTTAATAGTTTTAATCTATTGAAAATAATCTCCTAGACATGGAAAAAGGACAGTTTATTCTGTTTCACTAAGTGGCTATGTTAGCTGTGTCATGAAAAACTTACTTGCATTCACGAAAGTAAAAACTGAACAACTCCTTGCCACAGAGTTTGTAAGTTACTTGAAGTAAGATAGTTCAGTACTATTTTAACATGGAATTTTTTAATTAAAAAAAATAGGAGAGTCTCTTGGACTAACCAAAATTCAAAATGTGAGTTAAGACTGTATGCCTAACCTTAGTTCTGCATCATGCATATACATCAAGACAGTTACTTGATCATAAACTTCTCTAATTTTAGTATTTTGTGTGTGTGTGTGTGTGTGTGTGTATAAACATTTCTTTTAAGGCTAGCTATTTTTACGATGATCCAAAATGATGACTTTAGCATGGCTTTTGATGCAGTTTTCCACAACATTCTTGCAAGCAGGCTAAGGAAATATCATTTGGATGAATGGACTGGTAAAGTGCATAGAAAACTGGGTAGATTGTAGGACTTAAAGGGTAGTAATCAATGTTTCAATATCTAGTTGGCAGCTGGTATCAAGTGGATTGCTTAGGAGTCCGTCATGAGGCCAGTTTTGGTCAGTATCTTCAACAGTGACTTGAAAGGTGGGATGGAGTGTACCCTCAGCAAGTTTTGCAGATGACACCAAGCTGTGGGGAGTAGTAGATACACTGGAGGATAGGGCTGGGATTCAGAGAGACCGTGACAAAGCGGAGGATTGGGCCAGAAGAAATCTCATGAGGTTCAGTAAAGACACGTGCTAAGTCCTGCACTTACAACAGAACAATCCTATGCACCAGTACAGGTTGGGGACCAACTGGCTAAGCAGCAGCTCCGGAGAAAAGGACCTAGGGGTTACAGTAGACAATGAGCTGAGTATGTGCTAGCAGTGTGCCTTTTTTGCAAAGAAAGCTAGTGGTATACTGGACTGCATTAGTACAAGCATTGCCAGCAGATCAAGGGAAGTGATTATTCCCCGCTATTCAGCACTGGTGATGCCACATCTGGAGTACTGTGTCCAGTTTTGGGCTCCCCACTGGAGAAGGGACGTGGACAAATTGGCAAGAGTCCAGTGGAGGACAACAAAAATGGTTAGGGGCTAAGGACAAAAAATACAGTATAAGTGACCAGAAACCACTTCAAAAGTTCAGTGGACATCAGGTGCTTTCAAAATGTCTAAAACCGGTTTAAGATAAACCTGGATGGATGCTGTATCAGACTTTAAATTGATTTAACCTAAATCAGTGTTGAGCTTCTGTCCCAGATCGCCTCCAGATTCAAGTTCAATTCTCAGCATCCCAGGATACTTTTCACCTCCCCTGCAACTCCCCTCTCCCCAACACACACACAGGGTGGACTGGCTAGCCTTAGCCTAAGCTGTCTGCTCCAGCTCAACAGGGAAGCGTCCTCTAGCACCCCCTAGCTTCTGACCTGGGCCATTGCAGGCATGTGGTTATATATCTGTTCACTTGCTTATTGGTTCAATCTCCACAATTTAGACTAACCTGGGAAGACTGAATCAGTTCAGCCTCAGAGTTTTTGACTGTCTATACTTAACCTTGAGGAGAAGATGAGGGAACTGGGCTTATTTAGTCTGAAGAAAAGAAGACTGAGAGGGAATTCAGTAGCAGCCTTGGATTACCTGAAGGGTGGGTCCAAGGAGGATGGAGCAAGACTGTTCTCAGTGGTGGGAGATAACAGATCAATGAGCAATGGTCTCAAGTTGCAGCAAGGGAGGTATAGGTTAGATATTAAGGAAACTTTCCCAGTTGGAGGATGGTAAAGCACTGGAACAGGTAACCCAGAGAGGTGGTGGATCTCCATCCTTGGAGGTTTTTAAGACCCGGCTAGACAAAGCCTTGGCTGGGATAATATAGATGTATCATTCTTGCTTCTTTTTTTTTTTGCACAGGGGATTGGTCTAGATGACCTACTGACGTCCCTTTCAACCCTAATTTTCTATAACTATGTAAAGATTTGTAAAACATGGTATCTTTTCTGAGATTCAGTTATCAGGGATCATGTTCCTGGCCGTTTCTTTCCCATTGTTAATACATTTACCATAGCAATAACTGCCAAGGCTGAAGAAGCTTGCAGCAAACCTAAACTGATGACAAACTTGTATAAGCCAGAATTTTTTTCTGACCACTCTTGTTGTACTTCATTTTAACTTTCCGTTAGGCTCCCCATTTGTGAATGCAATTATACATAAAGGCTTTGATGAGAGACATGCCTACATCGGTGGGATGTTTGGAGCTGGGATATATTTTGCTGAAAACTCTTCTAAAAGTAATCAGTATGTGTATGGAATTGGAGGCGGCACTGGATGCCCAATTCACAAAGACCGTTCTTGTTATGTCTGCCACAGGTGAGTTGGAAAGCTGTTGCTGAATCTGTACATACAAAGCAGTTGGATGTTGTGGGGTACAATCAAATGCAGCAGGCCAAAATACTAACTCAGTAGGTGTACCTACTCAGCATGTACTAACAGTTAAAGCAGGTAGTGCTAACATGAGTTTTGGCTGCCAGTCTTTCACAAAGCTTTAAGAAACTTAATGCTGAAGATGTTTAAAGGCATTACCTGAATTTTTCTGCTTACAAGCCCCAAGAACTAGGTTTATTTAGCCTGGAAATCAAAAAAAGCTAAGGGAATGTAGAAATGTGTATGTATGAAAGGTAAAGTGAAAAGTAATCAGTCCCTTCTTTCCTGCCATACAATATACAAACCCAGATACTTTCTAGACTGGCAGTATACCTGCATTCTGTTCGGGTCTTATGTGCCTTCTGTGCCTGATACAGGGAGTGAGACATTTCACCTAGATAAACCAGAACTATGGCCATCTTGACATTTTTTCAGGCTGAGTTTAGTAAGGCTTAGGTGACGCTCATTTCATTTTTGGATGTTGATCTTCAGTGCTTTGCGGTGTGGTGTGGCAGACTTATGCAGCCTCCCATCCTGCTTGTTTCTAGGTTTTGGAGTATGACCTTATTCTGTAAAATGTCCATTACTGTTTTTACTCAAATCCAAGACTAATTGCCCCCCCCCCCTCCAAACAGCACAGGCATGGAAAAAAGCCTTGTCTTAGATTTGAGTACCAGCCTAGGGCAGGCCATGGGTCATGCAGTGGGGGAGGGGGCTTACAGCATGAGGTAAGTAGCTATGGGGAGACTGGAAGTAGTAGGGGTGCAGGGGAGAGACCATGTAGAGCAGGGAGGAGCATGGAGAAGACTGAAGTGTTTCTCCCCCTCCACACTCTTCCCCCCCCCCCCAAAC